CCCGTCTAAACATTTCATCTACACCTAAAAATTTGTTTCTATAAAACTTAAATTTACAAATAGTAAACAAGCTTAAAACAACACTAGTGATATGTTTCGGAGTGTGAGTGAGGTTACCATGACCCAATCCTCGCCCCCCCTCTATTCTCAATCCTCAAATCCTTGACATCCCACAAAAAGCCAGCAACTTACTTGTAACTCCTTCAGTGTTGCGGGAGCTCGTTTTCGTGCATATCGAATAAAAAAAATGCTGGATTGAAACTTGAGCTTACAACAATACCTAGCTTCAAACCAATTTCTAGAGCAGTGGCAAATCTAACTAAGACTAGGCGACTACGAAAAACCTGTATCCGTACGTATATAATATTCTACCGACACAAACTCAGGTGCTCTCTCTTCCCAATCTTGTAGTCCCGACGAGACGACTATCCGACACGAACGTACAAAATACACTGGTTATTTATGTGATAACTAATGTATTATGAAAAACAAAAACAGAGAATAGAATATTTTTTGAATTCCTAATGTCTCCTTTCTGTCAATCTGACGTGGTGTATAGGAATATGCACATCTTTCGAAAATCGATTTATATTAAAATTGAAAATCTGAAGAGCCGTCCTAGTTTGTTTTTGTGTGTGGTTCGAATTGAAAACATATTGTTGTGTTAGAAAGTCCATTAATAGAAGAAGACTAGGCTGTAAACCATTGCAACCATTAGGGGTTGTGTAGCGAGGGAACCCGAACAAATGTAGCAAGTAAGAACTAATAATCCACAAACTTCATGTATTTTAATAATAATATGTGTAGCGCTCTTCAGAAAACTTGGTGTTATACGGAATCTGAACATTTCTAGTGTTCTTAGAACATCCTTTGTGCTGTGTCATTCGTTCAAGGACGTCTATGATCGATAGAAGGCCGTATGAAAAGTTATTGTCAATAATGATATGAATAATAATAATTTCATTATTGTGTCAACGTTTGGTTTTATTTTTCCTAGGTAATATATTAACTAGATACTTCTATGTAATTCGATGGAATAGCTTATTATTATCTCTCAATAATTATTATGGGCTATAAGCTGTTGATAAAATGGTCCCTATTTTATTTGTAAGATACTTATTGAATCTTTATTCATTTTAAGATATATTTTTTTGGTATAGATCGGCAAATAAGCAACCGTATTACCTGATGGTAAGCAATTAGCGCCGCCCATAGAGACCCGTAACACCAAAGGAGTTAGTAGTGCGTTGCCGGCGTTTTCGGGGTAAGGGTTTCGGATATTTAAGGATTGGGAAAAGATGGGTGGATGGGAAGGGATGGACCTCCGATAACTTCACTCACACGGCGAAACACAACGCTAATATTAAGAGACGCAAGTCAAACTGCGTCAATGAGTCAAATTTATTTAACACACTTTTAATCATGTTTGGATAAAGCATATTATATTTAGTATTGCTTATTTGTTACTTGAGTAAAACTCGTTTCCAAATTCAGTAGAACTAGAAAAAATGTCTGTTGTATGGCTAGAGGACAGAATCAAGTGAATTGCAGTCAATTTTGATACTACTTAAACAGCGAAGCGAAATATTTTTGTTTGGAAAATAAAACGTGATAGCGTTGATCAGTTTCTTTGTGTAATTTACATTTGCATTGCATTCAGAGCCCAGCGTATTAACATTTTCGCGTTGTAGCATTGCGCATATTAAATTTTTGGTGCAATTGCGACAATTGTCCTCCGCTTGAATATATCCAAAGTTAAGTTAAATCAGACATCTGAGAATGTACAAATGATATCATCTGTGCATTTTAGAAAAAAAATTGCATATCTGTTCTTTCTAGGAAGGCAGCCAAAATCAGCATTAAAACAAATCCTGTTAAATGATACTTATTGAAATATGCGAATATGAAGTTCTGGTTTCATATTGATATATGGAAATTTCTATGATATGACTATTATGGGATATAAATGCCACAGGGAGCAGCGGGCTGCAGGACACTCCCAACAATTAGATCTGAAAATAACGACAGCCTATGTCTAGAAGGTTAGGATTTCGCAGCACTCATAAAAAACGGGGCACCTATCACTTTTTTGTTAATACATAAGCATACTCTTTGTGCTAAGATATTTCGTAGCAATGTCATACCATTTGTTCTACGATATATCGTAGCGTAGTATAAGTGCTACGAACACTCGTAGCACATATAACTGTGTGCTGTAGAAACATTGTTTCTTCATTTTTATGAACATTTGACTGTGAAGACTACGAGTAGACATAGAAAATTATATCCGTGAGGAAAAGTTAATTGAGCGAATATAACACAAATCTAGATTATACTATTTTGGTCTATAGAAATTTATAATTTACGAGCATCCTGTAAAAATAAATGTTGTAACGAAATTAAAAATACTTGACTGTTAATTCCTCGATTTTATGTGAAAAACAACAACAAACAAAACAATATCAGCTATTGTTTTACATCAGACGGGCGAAATCAAAGCGTAAATGTCGCAAAAGTATACGAAGTTAGTATGAAGGTTATAAAAATATCTGGAGGACAGGTTGGCGTTATATTGCCGTTATAAATCAGCGCGTGCGACAGGCGAGCGTGGCGGCGGCGACGCGGCGCGGCGGCGTGACGACGCGTGGCGTGCTCGGCAGTGCCACCTCGTGTCGCCTGCCGACATTCTACATATGCATAAATATTGCGCCTAAAATTCTACATATAAAACGGTACGCCTATTTGTAGATGTAGGTAGTTTGTTTTTACGAATTTAGTCAATTTAGCTAGTTTATTTACAACGTGATTGTTTATAAATGTAATTAATGTAGGTACCCACTTTGCTTTGTTATTGATTTATTTTGATTATTATATATTTAAAATAATAAAATTTTAACAACATTTTAAAAAACAAATATGCTCGCAGTCGTTCATTTATTCTACGTATAATTTTAAGAATGTCGCTCGTAACTGGCTAATGTATAAGACTATAACGAATACTTCTTACTACTTTGTATACATACGCTGTGAGCCTACCTTATCATAATAAATAAATCCATTGTCTATTATGATAGTATTCAAGCATTAGATACAATGGTAATCATTAACTCATATGCATGGAAAAATGACATGCAGTGACATGCAATACATATTTCAATCTAAAATATTTTTTTATTTTATTTTCTGTTCACAAATAAATAATCTAGTCTGTTTTAAACTTCATTCGATCTGGGAATAGAACCACGAGCTTCGGATTCTACAGGCGTAATTTGTACTAAATCTTTATACTTTCGAGAACGCGAGCTCTAGAGAGATACAATTTATACAAATTTTTGCAGAAACTAATATAACTTGAGTGAAGTATACATATTTCCTAACATAGACTGACGTTTTACAAACCTGCAGTTTTTCCCGCGATGTTTTCCTTCGTCGTTTGAAGTCGGCAATAAACTTATATTGAGTTCATATGTTTGAAAAACACGCCGGTCGTTACGCCGGCGACGCTATGAATTATTGTGAGTTGCACATTTCGTGTACATACATATATGCATACATAGTAGACGAAAATCATACTTTTGTTCACAACAAACTTCTGTAATATTAAATTAATGTTGGTTTTTATTGCAGGATTATTGTTTTTTAAGTACTTTGGGTTTCAGACGAAAGACGCTCTTCTCTACATACCTATTATAAGACAAATTTGCTTTCTCTGTCCTGATATACCTATGCATGTTTTATAAACTACGCAACGGATTTTGATGCGGTGTTTTTATTAAAGAGGAAGGTTTATATGTATTTATAATAACATCAATTAAATAGTGGAGACATTTTGTAACAGCACTGCACCCAAAGTTTATGGAGGACACATTGCATCGGAACTCCTTTTTAATTATAAATTTTATGGAAATAAAATTATATCTTTTGTGTTTATGGAATAATAAATGATAATAAGCATTAACTGGCGAGTATTATATACACGATTTTAATCATACTTACGTATTTATTTTATGATGCTGTTCACTTAAATAATGGAAGTTTTATAAAAAAATACGTAATACATAGCAGGTTTTAATAAATATGATCATTAATTGAGTGATCGCCAGTAAATAAACGAGATACAAATAAAATGGATAGCGGATACTTCTTCGGTCCATTTCATAACGGGTGCGGAAATTCGATGATTTATGCGGTCATCCATAAATGAATCGGATTCTCTGTGACGGCAATTTTTATTTATGAAACAATTAAAATTAATAGTATCGTTACCGTTTCTATGTAGTTTGTTTGTGGAATGTTTCGTTTTTAAGTTCTGTTGTTTATTCATATACTAACTGTTTCAAAAAATTGCAGATTTATTTAAATAATTTTTACTTTTATTTTACTATTTTTTTAAACTCGTGGGTTCGTTGACAAACATATGTACAAATTTATATAAATATCGCACCTAAATTTTGGGGATCAGACAAAATATTGCTCTGTGCGGGAATCAAAGTCACGACATATGCGTGCACGGCAGCCGGTTATTCAGCCTCCACGTTACCGTGCGGTCTATTTCCATATTTAAGTGTATGGTATTCTGTCGTTATATACTTATTTGACATCAAAAATTCGCCAGTTGCGGTGCACGTTAAAAACGTATTAAAATTAAATCAAAGATATAATTAAGCGATCCAATTTTGCGTTTCGTTTATAGTTATGTATGCACAAATTTAAAAGCATTCGAGGGTATATATACAAAGTCATCCGAATATTTCCGTTGTTGTTGTTGTTGTTCAAAAAATATGCAACCAAAATTGGAAAATACGTCGTATTGTTTTACAGCTATAAAAGCTGAGAGCTGGGAACTGCAAGTAAAATTTTAAAGCGTGTATAGTACAGATCGAGTGGCCGGCAATGGTTTCCGGGTCATATCGCCAGATTGGAAACGCAAGCCTGACCAGGGTGAATTACACGAAACGGTGTGAGCGGTGACGGTGGAAGCGTAGGATTCACTTACTTACATTCGCTTCGTGACTGAACTCCATAGAGCGGTGCAGTAGAGCCGTAAATAAAATGGTATTGTCGCGCGGAAACCGCACATCGAAAAACCGGGGAACGTCGCGTGAAATGCTACCGGTGCCGGCATCGGCATAGACGTCGAGAAATATGGCTAAACGTACCGCACATACGAAATATGGGATTATAGGCAACGGTGTCGACTCGTGCCGGGTCGCCGAAACACGTATATGTACGTAGCTCTTATACAATTAACTGTTTCTTGATAGTAAACTTTTCGAAAGCTTGTTCATAATGGGACGATTGTTTTATTTTTAATGTTACTTGAATAACTACATTATAATTTTTGTCATCTTTATAAAAATCATGTTGCCATATTGGCTCTTTTTAGAATTTAATAAGGTTTGAAATACGTGCAGTAACTTTATGTAATTTCAATTATTACAAGCGAATATAATTTGTTTCTAACAGGGTTAATAAATGAAAACTATACAAAACTACAATATATATGCCGAACTTGTATGTTGTATCGTTTCATTCCCTCATGGGAATAGAACAGAAACCAACGCGGAGGAAAGCTTTAGTCAACATATAAAAACCAGGAAATAGCTTCTGACAATAACTAATGTTCAGTAGTGCTGCATGATATCATACATACATAAAGGTATATTATGCAAACATAGGTATTTGACATTTAGTTTCTGCGAGTAGTATCATGCACTCAACGGATACATTCCAAAATTGTCGACTGCAGAAGCATTTCTACTATTCTTTCTGTTTAAAATTCTTTTACAAATGAAACTATGTCTCTATGACCGATGAAAACCGAAGCTCCTTAATTCTATATTCCATTTTACGAGCACTTATCAGCCAGCAAAGCAGGAAAGTGCAGTACAATTGAAATTAAATGGCAGCTGACTAACTCCCTTGTGGTTCACACATTGCTTTAAAACGTAATTGCTAATTCTTTAATGAAACTAAAGAGCTCAAATTGCATACTAATTGGAATATTATGCATAGTTTAAAAAATAATCTATAAAATTTAGGAGAGCTATGTTTTGTGACGAATGCCGACTTCGGTTTCATAGAAAACCACCGTTATACACCAAATACATCAAAAAGGCCGTTAACGCATTACTATTAATTACTTATTAAACTACTAATTGCTTAACATCAGACAACCCATATGCTAGTTTGCCGCTTTGTTCCACAAAAATAACACATGACGCTTATTTTTTTAAACCGTGCATATGAAATTATGTGTACATTGTACAGTAGAAATTGTAGTTGCATTCAGAGTCGGGAGTCTGAGATTCTAATATTTGTTGTTACAAAGCCTTGTTGTGTCACTGCAGTTAGGTGTACGGATGGGTAATTTTCAATGGCCGCTGAATAAGAGCTAGTATTCTGCATTTCGTTCGTAGACCCGTAATGCCGGTTACGTAGCATCCAGCATCTGACTCGGAGGCAACTAGCGTAAACTTTAAGTAAGAGAAAATTTGCTTTGAAATATTTCCAGAGACGAGGCGGTATACAGAACGGCTTTATATACTCTAAGATTTCTTTTAAAAATAACACATTCGACGAACTTCGTTGCGAAGTTAATAAAAATTAGTTGAAAACTCGTGGCGGCAGAGCGACGTCTATCGAGACAGACGTGTTTGCTGCCGCGCCCGACGTATGATGCCGCTTTATTATTTTGAACTGCTTGTTTTTACTTCCAATATATTTGGCTTTTGAAACATAAGTAATTTTATTGCTCCGTACTTGTATTTTTTATCACCAGACATACTTTCTTTTAAAGTCTCTGATGATGATTACGTCAATAACTATTTACGTCATATATTAAATATGCAAAATTACGCTGAAGCGGATATTAATATTACAACCGCAGGATCCGATAATTGAACAAATTGAATTTATAAAATAAAATTTTCGTTTGCTACGATTAGATGGACATTTGTTGTTTATTGAATCAATGGTGTTAGAATTTGAAATCAGAAGTAATCTGCTTGTGCGGAAGCGCGGAAGGAGATGGATGACAGGGAAAATACGCGAGAAAATTCAAAAGGAAAGCAAGGTGGAGCGCGCGCGGAAAATTGGCTTCATTAGATAGAGGGACTGAGGGCGCTCTATAAAGGACACACAGACTAGCCGGACAGACAACCTAATGCAAATTTACTGAACTTACCAACAGTCTCTTGAATTTAATCAATATTCATATTAAAATCTCAAGCTTAGTAACTATTATCGTACAAAAATGAAATATAATTTAAAATATAACCAATAACTTCTACGAGTAGTACATGAAAACCCACATTACAATGTTAGTTTAACTTGTTTGACAAATGAAGGTATAAACTTTTCTGTAATAAGGAAAACAAGTTGTCGAAACTAAACTTGCGAGGATCGCGCGTCCTGTCTTCCCGGAACAGCCAGCCATTCAAATTTCATATATCAAACACTGATTCACACATTCTCTTGAAATTTTTCATGTTTTCACCTGAGGACAAATTTTCTTGAATATTGTCGAGCAACATGCATATACGAGGCTGGTATGACATGTATTACGAAATTTTATGAAAAAGACCAAAGATTTATGGATGTTTCATAGCAAAATAAACACGATTTTCATTTCTCATTTTCATATGAACAGGGGCGATAAACCGGAAAATCGTGAATTACGTTGTTACACATAAACAATGAACTAACATCACATCTAATCTCATTTGAGGTTATTATCTTCTGCTGGCGAGTGGAAGTCTCCCTGAGGCCTACCCACGCCGCCTCTCAGTAAAAATATTGACCTTAAGAATTTTATTGTTTTTGTATTATATCACACACAGAGTTTATTTGTAGAAATTATCTTGTTCGTAAAGTGAGGTGTTGTAAAGAATAGGTACGGATTGTATGATTTTTTGAAATTTAAAAAAACTAATGTTTTTGTAATTTATGTAACATATTTTTAATGGATGCGTTGACGAATACTACATTAAAAAAATCTAACATACCTAATTACATATTACAGACTTTGTTCCCTAGAATAACTTAAATTAATTAAAGTAACCCAAAATATTTCGCAGTAAAACTCCCAGTTTCTATACAAAAGGGTAACGGGAGTCACATTCAAAGTGCAATTAAATGCTGACGTAGTCTCGTTTCAGAGATTGCTTTGCATCTTACGTACGCACTTGTTAAGCTTAAGTAAACATTTATGTAGTTACTACAAAAGAAACCTATTACAACTGTTTGTAAATAAATGCATTTGAAACGGTAAGATATTACTTCTATGAACACATTAATGTTTGTTTACACTAAAGAAATGAATGATATCGGGTTTTTATAATTAAGCGAACTTTAACATTCAAGTTTATAAGAACATACTTGTTCAGCAAAATATATAATAATCTATGAAAAAATGTTAACCTTATTCCCCTTCATGAAAAACTATCGACTTTGGAACTATGGGTGTAACGATGATCGAGATTCGACAAAATATAACCGAAACGCGTAACGTATGGCTAAAGACTAACAAGAAATGTTAATTGTGTTTCTAAATGTATTGTATTACACAAGTATTAACCATATCTCATCCCATAATACAGTAAATTAAATTAAAAGAAACAGTACACCAACAGGGAAAAGCCTAATCAACGTATTAATTGCCCAACAATAACACTCAAGGGTCGGTTAAATTAATTTCCGTTTTGGATTGGTCGGGATCATAAACCTAAAACATTATTATTTCCTAGTACCCATCTATATTATTTATAAACAATCATAATTAAAAGCGTTCTGCAGTTGATTTAGGAGAAATTTATTCACATGTTATATTATCACAATATTACACTTACATATTTATTCAGAAATACCACGATCAAACATTAAAGTACACGAAAAGTTTGTAACGAATCGACACAGTCGTATATTTCAATACTTGGCAAAAGTCATCAGCTTTTCCTTACATGTGTGAATTTCGGGGCTAATAATTATTATTTTATGAACAACAAAGTTCCGTGGGGCTTGTTAACTCGGCAAAGATGAGTGTTTAAGTTTCGCCCGAAATAGATGTTTTATGATATGTAGTGAGAACAGTAAACAAGCAAGTTTTGGTATCGCGACCGCATAGCTGGGGTTGGGCGAGGCTTGTTTATGTGGCAATTGGCGTCGCAATGAACCGGCGTTCTAGCTGGGAGCAAGTTCGCAGCAAAGGCGTTCCCGAGTTCAGTAACAAATTGAAGTATGGCGCCGGCAACTCGCAAATAATCATACACAAGGTAAGTTGCGGCTCTAACTGAAAGTTCATCCAACTTGAGACTGATAGTAATTCACTCGAGAATTGCGGTCAATAACTGAGGAAATAACATGTATTTCTATTTGTCGATACGGAATCTATAATCATACAATACGGGCTTACATTACATTTTGTCCTTTTGTCTAGTCTCTATTTCATTTGACGTGAGTACAGAGCCATTACAAGGATTATTAGTTAATTGAATAATGATATTATCTTCATTATTCATCGAATTTGGTTTCTGGTTACATTACAAAGGAACTTATTTTCTATAGATATACTTTGTTCAGTTTAAGTTTCATGTTTACTGTGTGCTATATTTTAAAGTGACCAGGGAAGCACAGCTTTGTTTGCAAAATAACATTTATTTAGGAAGTCATGAAGTATGTTAATTAATCAAAGCGTTTATCTAATGGAGTACAAGATAGTTATAATAAAGGCTTAATAAGCATGTATTTAACCACCTACACTACCAGTAAATTGGGAGCGATGATAACCAAGTCGTTAATTTTCGGTTATTTAAAGAGGTAGTCATTAGTCTGGATAAGGTTCCATTGTGAAATAATATATCGTACCTATTTGACTTGTACAACAATTTGTTGGTTGCCTTAAATTTTGCAATTCATGCTCTGTAATATGGGAGGTCAATTTCATGTTTAGGGTTATGTTTGTGGAATTTATTTTGAAGTAGATCTATTGGCTGATCTTCTAATATTTAAAATATTAAATTTCTTTTGGACTCTACTTAACATTGTAAGGGACCTCATTCAGTATAAACGAGGCCTATCGATTTATTCCTCAAATGGCAGTGTTCAATCATATCTAATATTTTAGTAGCACGAATTCCTAGCTGAGGTAAATGGGTAATTGTGGTGCTTACTGCTGATAGATAGGTGGTCTGGCGCCTACAAGAGCCACAATCATTTGTTTCACCCAATTGACTGCTACAACTTGCCTGCCACACACATTCCCCATTTGTTACTTTAAAGCCAACACTACCTCACTTGAGTACGCAAACAACGAAGCTAACATCGTAATAAGTTCTCAACGCACCTGTTCTACCAAACTGTCACAACTCCTACCAAAACGTAACCCATTTCTCACTATCTTCGTTTTAAATGAAATGCTGATAAAGTTTTTCCACATTCATAACCTACGTCTTAGATACCGACTCAGTAAGTAGGTCAGTTTATAGTTGTCGTCGGCAACAGAACATCTATAGATGATTTCTATATTAGTAGGTAGTAATCAAACGCCGAGGCTCTATAGATAATTGCAAGCGCGATGACTGTTACAGACGTCAGTAATCGAGACTGTGTTGTTGCTAAGAGCGGACACAGTAAAATAATCGGATAATAATATAATCTCATTTTGTTGCGTTGTTTTCCTTTCCCCTCGCCGTTTCGATTCGATCAACAATCAGTATTGAATTACTTATTGTGTTATTGCAATTGATTTCGAAATTTGATAGATTAATTTAGGTTTACAAATAAATACATAAAATATATAGGAGCAAAGAGTAACAATGAAAGATTAGAACGATTTTAGTGGAACAGTCGTATAGATTCAGCAAAATCCAATAATTCCCTTTTGAATATTCTACGACTCATCCAGTAAAAAGCTAATCCGCTGAATAATGGGGGTTATAGATATCAACGTGGAGCAGGCATGGCGGAAAAATATGTCAATTGTTTCCCTCTGCATGAGTTTATGGTATTAATAACTTTAAATAATAAATCTCGGCTTTGTTGATATTTTAATTGCTTTCAGTAGTGTTTATGTTCGCCGCTGTACGGGAAATTGTATTTAAATTAATCCGTTAAGAGATTGTGTCAATTTGTTTATGTTATGTCCTTTGTACCTGTTTCGAAACTAAAATCGACATTTCGACTAATTAAACGTGACAGTTTGTGTCGGTATTAACATATTAATTGGCATTTCAGTTATATATAATGGTTTGTACATTATGTTCACACTATTTCATTAGTGAACGTTGTTATTTTTTCTATTGAAAGAAAAAAAATAATTATTTATATAAAATAATTGTAGATTGTATAGGTACATAATTCAACAATAATTTGGATAATGAATTTACTTTATGCCAATTTATATTAAAACATATGGACGCGTAATAAATGATTATCACAGTAGAAGAAAAAGAACATAAGCGCCGACGCGTTTATCTCGATGTAGTTTCTAAAGCATCCATTGACGTTATGACGTTTTGTAGTCGCGATAGCCTATAAACAATGTCCCTTTCACAACAAGGACGTCGGCACCGCATACAAGCACTTGTCTATTCATCATAGACATCATTGAAGTTGAATACTTTTTTAAACACCTTCCTTGAAGAGTCTTAACTTTCAAAGGCCGTTTGAAATAACTATTGACTAATAAATGTGTTTAATTAATTTACGAACCGAAAAAATAGAAATTATTATAAAGAAAAGGAAAATAGTTTTACATGATTAAAATGTATTTTTGTAATCAACAGTCTGTGGTGGTTAAGTAAGATCGCGTATAGGTACATACAGTCTGGGGTCAAAAAACAAAAAATACAATTGCACTCTACCAATTTCAAAATATCTTTGTAGAATAGAGTCAATGGTTGAGGACTGCTTTAATTTATAGCATAGAATCTAAATTATTGAATAAACTGGCTGTGAACCATTGAACTTTTACTACAAAGAAATTATAGTCATTTTAACATTGGTAGAGTGTTATTGTATTTTTGACCCCTGACTGTACATAAGATAGCTTCAGTTTTGTTATTGCTTGTTGTTGCCTGGTCTTTGTCAAATCTGTCTTTTTGTTTTTTTTATAATATAACACTTATGGGATGAGCAGGGGTCCATTTTACGGAATATTTGTGTGTTGCGATTTTTCAGTAATCAAGGACAAAATCTATTTCTTTTTTGTCCACTTCAAATAATATGTATAAGACAATTAGTTATTCATGACACTGCGAAGTGCTTGACTTAAGTGTTTCGGTATTTTCAAGGGGTTATGCGGGCTTGTCCTGTTAAAGAAAACTGTCGACGGATGGTATGATGGTATGGAGCTATTAATATATATGTATACATGTTTATTGAATTTATTTATTAATTTGATTGAGATGTATTTGTTCTAACTCTTGTGTATGTCTTTACTAACAAAAATGTATTGTTTTATCTGTCAAATAAATTATTATTATTATAATACAACTATAGAAGTATATATACGTATTGCATTTTATATACCTCTGGTAAATTTCTCTCTTCTAAGAAATAACAGCATATTTATCTTAATAAAAACATAATTCTATTTTTAGATCAGTCAGGAAGTCAGCATTCTCGCTAGCTTTCATGTAATTAAAGAAGCAATCAAAAATATTAAAATGTTTCAGTTGAAACATTAATTAATTTAAGTGATTTCTTAAATGCAATGTGTCTTACTGTGATTTTAGTTTTAAACACTTCTTATTTAAGATTAAGGATAGCTGTGCATTGCATTCTTTTTCAATTTGAAGTTTTTTTAATAGTCATTGATTATTAGTTTTCCTTATATTCTCAAAATTTTTATTATATACTAATATTATTTTATTATAATATTTATTTAATTATTTGCTTCGATAATTATCTATAAATATTAACATTTGCTTCTTTGTATCCTTCTGTAATGAAGATATACGTTCTTAATAGTAAGTATTTTTTGTAATTGTCAATTAATCATCAATACTATAAAATACAGTTGCCTTTTCTTTCCCTATAACTCTATGCATGCTTTAATCATATATAATAGGGTTTATTGTATAATAATACTCATTACACAGTGGGGATATTTAGTACCAGCATTGCCGTAGAGTGAATCCGTGGCGGGTCGCTTGTTTTACATATAAAAATATTCTTCACGATGTATGAGGTCAGTGTAGTATAGTGATCGCTATTACGACTTTCGACCAACGGGTCTTGAGTTTTATTTAGGTCGGGCAAAGTTTTATAGAGTTATTTCGATTAAAAACTTTGGTTAGATTAGGTTATCTACAAATTATAATTATGATGGAAAGAGCACCCATGCCTTCGTTTTTGGAATAACATAAATTCATAAAAAAAGATCACACTTTAACAATATTTAGGTGGAAATTCTTGGCATCGAGAGAAATTACAGCAATAGGCTTCTAAGGAGCCTAAATTTGATACTTTTACGATAGTATCCAGGGTTCAATTAACCATTTCCCAATTCCATCACAAAACCGGATCGAACATACCATAGTATTGTATGGTAATTTAATCTATACTGAATTGTCAAATTTCATGAACCATCACACAACAATTTATAGTACAAGAATTCATCAAATCAAATCAAATCATATTTATTCATCATACAATACGTATTGTTGGTGCTACAGCAATTAAATTAGCAGTGTGTGTTATTCAGATTCTTAGATTGTATTACACGCTTTGTTACAACACAATAAAGGTGTGTTAAAAACATGTCGTTGTATAAAAAAATATTGTCAAAAGCCATCACCATACACAGTCAAAAGAAATCAAAACATTCTTCAGAACATCAGAATGTTCCGATACCATCGTTTAAGTTTGAAATCTCTTCGTAGAACGTTATGCTTGGACTATCACATTGCGTCTACTAATGAGGAGTCTGCTTTTGAAGTCACTACCGGGAAACAGACAGCGAAGCATTCTAATAAGAGAAACATTTCTATAATATCAAATGCAAAGAATCTATATATTGTACACATATATGATACGGTTCTGAAGTCGTTAGATATTGTTTATAAAAAAATGTAAACAAGGTACAAGGTACCGTAATATGTCCCCTGTGTAGATATGAAAAGTAGTATTTACTTTCCTAAAGTTGTTTTAAAGTAAATTTTGTATTTGTGCCTTTAAATAATTTCCTTCAAATATTTTGTACATAACAATCGTAGCAAATAACAGAATAAAGTGAAAATCCTTAGAACCCAATAAAGGAAGAGCCACCTGTTTCATTGTAATGTACTTTATAGACTGCGAGCCGGTTAAAACTTGGAAAAAGTGCTATCTACGTTCTGCGTTGTTTTCTAAAACTTTTTCTAAAGAAAATAACAAACTTTGTGAAGACTTCCCGCTGCTCAAAAAATAATTAACGCCGGTAGAAAACTTTAAATTATATAATTGTTTATTAATGACATAAATTAATTTATCAAATTGTTTCACAGCAGAAAGTTTTTCATTTATGCTCCCTCTATTATCCCTTATAATTTATTTTAACTAAAACAACTAGCAATTAAATTTTGTGAAACTAACTTATTAGTTATGTTGTTAATTACTTAACGAGGAACTTTGTACTCACCGTCTGACGATGTAACTGAACCACTAATTATGAGCACCAGCAACACAGCTGCGACTGCTGAACACGAGGCCAATCTTCGTCCGCTCATCATGTTGATTAGTTTACCCCAACGACATGTTCATCGAAATAACTTTTCCAAGATTTACAAATACGCCAACAAAAGTGTTATGATGAATGTCAGTGGGGTAACGACGTTTCCTCATTCATTCGCCATCGAAATCGGCTCCATTAAATATTCATCGGCAGGTGAATCGAGTAGGGTTCGTATGTCGGTGCCGGCGAGCGTGCGGAGGCGTCCGTCGGCGGCGCGCTGCGATCTCGCGGCGCTCTGGCTGCGTACTGGCCGCGCTACGCTACCCGCGCCGCTTTGTCTACGAGTGTGCTACGCTCCCGGCGCTTGCGTAGCCCCGCCTCGCTCTCGGATGAAAGGACGGAACATTACCAGTATTTGTAACAGTTTGCGTCAAATTGATATAAATGGAGACGGTTTTAATAAAGTGTAATTGACTTTTGCCGACTTTGCGTCGCATTAATTTCGACCACGCTAAGACGCCTCGGGCAGGTGCGGCGTTAAATACCACCACGGCAACTTCGCTTTCTGCCATGAATAATTTCAAATTTAAATGAATGTTAATTATGATGAGTTTTTAAGTTCACTTTGATATTTCTGAGATTGATGTTAACGTATAAAAAGATTTATTTTTATCAAATATTGTATATTAATTTGCACAAAAGTTTCGCTGCGGTGCCGGTGACTGCACTTTTAAAAGTGTTGGGATGTTATGTGTTCAGTAAAATTTTATTTATTTTACATTCAGGTAAAGCATTTTAAAAGTAAAAGGGACGTATTTATTCAAATGCGTATGAAATGTAAATAGGTGCGTAATTTATGCGATTACATGATAATTTACGTTGGTACCGTCAATGAGGTTAGATGCCGTCTTAATAATTAATGAGTGCGATCTCACAACAAGGATAAAATACGAAATGGAGGAGGTTTCGTGGGCCTCTTGGAGATGATTACCATTATCTATAAACTAATAGGCGCGTATGAACGTAGACAAACATGGGGCATCTTTAATTAACAGTAGCAGTGAAGATTAACAACGCTCACGTTAATATTATCAGAATGTTTCAGCCCGGATGAATCCAATAAGCATGAATAATTAATTGTAGTATGTTAATACGTCAATACGGTCTCGACCTAATACGATCCATGATACGTACAATTAAGTAAGGTTTAGCATTACTGTTTACCTTTGATTTGTGTAATACAATGCCGAATTAAATTTTCTATTTCATTTTCTTTTTCAAAATTGCTTTTATGTTTTCATTTTGTTGTAAATGAAATATATTACGAAATGAGAACGATACCGTTTTGATATTTCTTCCAATATAACTTTTTAAGGCTGTTTTAGTTTTTATAACTTTAAAGCTTTAGATTTGGTTCTAGGAATTTTATTTCTCATTTCTGAAATATGTTTATTTAAAAAAGTAAACATTCAGTTTTTAAATAAATATTGTATAAGAAATTTAAAATAATAATAGCTATTTAAAATTTGAAAGCTGCTTGGAATTCAGTTTTATTTAGACTTAGTTGTTTACATTGACTTAGTAACTATTATTTATTGAATCGATAGGTATCAATACATTTTCAAAGTAGGTAAAGAATGTAAAATAAATGATAAAAGTTGATTCGGGTTGATGAATGGTATATAAATGGATGGTAGTAATTGAGACGTACGTAAGTACGATAGGTGCGATAAAAGGAAAATAAAAAGAAATGTAAACTGCAATTTAAAAGTAAGAACCAAATATCTAAACAAAAGTTTAAAAGGATCTTCCTTTCCACATTGGCTGACGTATGAATATATTTTTAAAAGGTTTAACTTGTTTCAACTTTGTACCTACTTAATTATGATTACAAGGCCAGGAGAGATAAATTAAAACAGTGGGTGCTACCGCAGCGAACACGACCACGGCTAGCCACCTTAACTTTACTTATAATAAAATTAATTTATTATACTACTTTCGTAGACAAGTATTCCGTACAGTTTTAGAACAATATTTTTAAGACATGTGATAAAGGTTTGTGCAATTTATTGCTTGGATAATTGTTTTCAAATAATTGTTACGTTCCTAAAATATATACTTATACCTAACGTCACTGAACTGAGTAGCTTACTTTAGTTTTTATCGAATTTAAAAAATATTTACTTAAATCATAATGAAAGTGAACTTATCATGCTGCTGGATATCGGCAAAATTAACATAGTAACTACTTTGTTCACATCAACGCAACAGAAAATGACATATAATATGACACATTCCTGGTTGGTCCACACTCTGTTAATTTTATTTTTACTATCGCGGTAAATTTAATCAAACATTCGAATACCTTTTAGTGAAAAAATACTTCGTGCAAACCAAATATATTTCAGATGAAAACGACTCGCTACACTGACATACTGCGTTAATAACTTGTCGATATGGATATTTCCCGTGTTACTACTTACTTGGGGAAAATAAATAGAGCCAAGGGTGATAGGCAAGAGGGTTGTATGGGGGATCGGTGCCGTCTAAGCTCACAAACCCTTTTTTCCGTCTTTGCAAATCGTCGGGGATTAAGCCAGAAGATCTCACACCTTTTCACAAATATTTTTTGTGGTTTAGCAGCCAGTAAAACGGCGTTGTACAAAGTGTACCCCAACGGATCAATAACTGTTTTGAAAGATAAAGAAAGATTTGCTACATCTCTTATTGATACTTTGATGAGGAATTGAGGAATGAGTCCGAAGAAAAAGGATTCGGGTGTAAATGAGATATTCCTGTTTTCGTAAATGAAGGAATTATAAATGGAATTTTAGCTTATTGAAATAAAGAATGAAGTTTATTTTTTTCATTTTTATTTTTAATGTGTTCGAAAATACGTTTTCCATAATATACCGCGCATCTGGTTCTGTAGGACAACGTCCGTGTTTCTATGAAACCATTTTTATTGAAATAGCTTAACCTTGTAGTGGGGATCCCTGAACGTGTAATTATTAGAAGACATTTAATTTAAAATTTTATATAAAGCGTTAAAATATCACATACGAGGTGGTGGCGTTTTGTGCGAATGTTGATGTTAAACGTCGTTGTTCTTTTCTTTCATGTCGCATAAAAATTATTGCATTGTAAACATTTTGAGAAAATCTTTTTACACGCGGCGGGGAGAACGTAAAAGTTTGTTCGTTTCAAATTCAATATATTATGGCGAGCGTGCTCTCGCTCAGCCGACACCGAAACTCACTCGAGCGTAGCTCACACAAAATTTATTGTTTTTCTAAGAAAATTTTCTTCGCACGACCCTACATCCCTGTTGAGGCCCAGGGGAAGAGTTACAAAAACTTAATGACCTCTTGCTGTGGTTAGATTGTTTAACCTATTGTTTTAGTTTAAACTTGTTAGTTAAGTAGATCGAGTCAGGAAGCTACTACTTAAGTGGCGTGCGCTGTTTTAAACTGCCAACGAGTTCATTCAATTGTAAGTTAAGATGTTTAGATACCTACTACGTTCATTAGCGTTCTTCTCTTTGATTTACGCTTAATGTAATATGGTTGAAAGAAAGCATATTTAACTGGAAAATCCTTTTTATTTACGTGATGCTTAAGGCGTACGAGCGTTGAATGTCGTTCCGTACCCGGGTAAACATGTTTGGCATTATTTAATATCAGATAATTTGCTTGTAAACACGCTACGTGTAAGTAACAAACTCTTTGGGAGTGCTTTTATTGGCACGATGATCACAGGACCAATATTTGAGCATTATTTACATAAACCCGCCTACGTGAGCGGGTCACACAGGTACACGTAGTGCGTTAAATAAATATGATATGCAAACAAAAAAGGGACTGACGCCAAAGGCAGTTTCAAGATAAAGTCTTTTATCGGACATATAATAACGTTCTGAAAAATCGTTAGCCCGTGCTCACGTCGTGGGGACACGTGCGAGCAGGGCACTCTCGAGACTGATCCCTCCTTCTGCTTAGATTAAATTTGTTCCTATAAAAATGTGTCCTCTAGTCGATAACGTCGAAAATGTGCAGATGTCGCCGGCCAGTATGAAGCCTACGATAGGGTTCGACGACGTGCCGCGCGTACTGACTTACTCTGGCGCTCAGCTATCTTACAACTTTACAGAAACTAAACGCTTAATAACTTTGATTTGCTCTTTAAATTGTACATTGTATTCAGATACTACTTTGTAAAATTACAAACCACGTAATACAAATGACAGTAAACTACAGAGCACGAATTTATCTTTCGAAATCTATTCGTAAAAGCAAAGGACCGCGTACATTCGCCTCGAAAATAAAAATAAAATATTGATGGCACATAAAAGTTTAAACGTTCATAATACAGAACCCTCTAGTTAGATGTGAGCACGATGATAAAGTGCAGAATTAATCGTACAAGAATAGAGATTTATCGCGCAAAGAATCAAGGAGAGTGCTCTGAAAACTTTTTATTTTGTGATCACGAAATGAAACTTGTACATTTAGGTTTGAAAAAAATGCGAATCATTCCAAGTTAGATAATCAATATTTAAAGAAAGAGAACTTGAAAAGAAACTCAATCGTTTTTAACAACAAAGTTTTTGCCGTCTTTTTTCTTTAATCAAATTCATCATTTGATACCTACAAGCATTCACCATTAAAAATAATTGAAAATACGTAGTAACTGTAAGGTTTTAATGATGAGCATGTTTTAAATATTTCAATTTTTATTTTTAAAATACCAATGCACTGTCTGCTCGTTCTTACAACGAAGTCTCGTGTTAAGTCCTCATTGTCAGGTTCATCTTACATCTGTACTAATGTCATAATCATAATATACATATTATTACAAAGCAGAAGAGTTTGTTTGTTTTTAAAACGCGCTAATATCCGAAATAAGTGTGGGAGATCCATGCTTTGGCCCATTCGGCCAGCTCAACCGGAGTGATACCACGGCCTTACAGAAAACCGGTTTGGAACAATCACAGCGCTGTGTATCTCCTCCCCCTATCCCAAATTCTCAACACCTCTTTTCTTATAAACGCCGGCAACGCACTTGCAGCTCTTGCGGCGTCGATTGCTTACCATAAAGTAAATCGTCAGCTCCTTTACCGTCGTATCACATAAAACTGGTTTGAATGGACAATTATTTTTATGTTAGATAGTACATATCTCGAGGACAGCTATATACATATATATATACACCACGCTTCGACCAATAGGAGCCGAGAAATACTAGAAAATATTTAGTCTTATTTATTTATTTATAGGTTATAGGTATAATACAAATAAAGATATTACAGTTTAGTAAGGCTAATAATAGGTTTCCCTGCTTAACTTAATTTGTGTTTACCATTATAAACGCAATTAGTAGAAGTTTTAATAAAAACAAGAGATTTGTTCAAAGTCTATGTATAGCCTAACATTTGCTAATAGCACACACAACAAAAACATATTGGGTAATT